TTAACATTACGCTACACCTGCTAACCGTCAGCATGTTAGCATTGTAATTGTGAGCCTGTGAACATGCAGTTAGCATTTAGCTCACAGCACTGCCATACCTAAGTATAGCAGGGAGGCTACTAGTACTTTTGATTAAATAAGGCAGATGGAGATACCGAAGAAATGTAAATAAAAAATTAAAATGTAATTTGGTGATCAACAGATGTTTAGATGAATAGAATTAAATGCAACTAAATGTGGCTAAAAAAGACATAATTATTATTATCTTTGTCTCAAAAATGTTCAACAAACAATTGTAACCTGACTTTAACCTAGATCTTTAGTCCTCTTTGGACATGCAAATGACCAAATCAATGTTTACAGGGTTCCAATAAAGACCAGACATCTATTGCAATATAGCTAAGTCAGCTCAAGTTGGGTGAAGGGTTTGTAGCTTATTAAAGCAAACCACTTGGTGTGATTAAACACCATGTCTCCTTAACCTTTTCTCCCACATAGGCTGAGAGCAGAATGGGAGTTGCGATCCCAGGACCATTACTGTTTAGTCCGGTTGTTGTAGTTGGATTAAGATGTTAGCTATCCCCTGTTAACCTCTCCTCACTAGACAGCGCTGATCCAGGGCCTAACATGGTGAGGAGGGAGATGGAGCCACATGAAAGGATATTAGGGATATAAGACTTACATGGGCCCACACTGCAAAAGACTCCTGGAGGGCAGAAGGTTAAGGAGAGAAGAGAACCCTCCTTCTCTCTCTCTCTCTCTCCCCCTCTCTTTCTTCCTCTCATGCATGTTCCGAATGCTAAACACCAGCCCACCACATCCTTATCCCCCTCTACCTCCTCCTCGCTCTCCTCCTCCCTCCTCTGCCGCCTGCACTGCAGAATCACTGATGTGAGGTCTTTTGTGAGAGCGCTGGCTGGCCTCAGCCTGGGCTCTGTTACGGCCTGACCACTGACCCACTCACCCGCCTTTTAAAGAGGTTTTAGGGTCATGGGTTCACAACAAGGTGACTCAACTGTGAACGGCGGGCGGCATCCTCTTTCAAAGGCCCACGTCTTCACCTTTCCCTCTCAAGACTCTCTCTCCCTCTTTTTCGCCCCCCTCTGTCTCTCTTCTCTTTCCTCTTTCTCTCTTTTTCTTTCTGCCCCCCTCCCCTGCAGCCCTTCTTTCCATGTATCCTCAGTGACTGACCCGCCGTCTCAGCCCTAATTAGCATAGCATCCCAGAGCGAGGAGAACATGAAGGCTAATGGGGGTTGGGGCCCCGTAACAACACTGAGGGTAAAGCTTCAAGTTTCTAACTAGGGCCATCACCTGACCACATTTACATGGGTTTCTGCAACCAGAATGCAGGCAGGAGAGTAATGGATGATAAATTATTCCTTTTTCTTGGTAGAGAAAGTGAACGAGAAGGGAAAGGCATCAGGATTCAAAGCGGCACTGCATGGGAGGTTTGGCTTGTGTCAGTAATGTATTTTGTCTGAAATGCAATGCCAGCTTTCACAACAATGCTGATTAGGGAGTAAATACAATAAGTGTTGCAATGTGGTGATCTGAAACAAAACTCAAATCTAACCCTATTTGGGTTTAAAGCTAACTCAATCTGGTTTCATGGTAGCTGCAAACAATTCATTGCGTTTTTATTTCCCAGCTTTAAAATAGTAGATGGGTGAGCTGCATCACGATAACTCACTGTGTCAATGCACTGGCAAACTACCCCATTAAAAGAGTATATGGAGTTTGTTGCGAGATGCAGATACATTTCATCCCAGTATAAATAAAGTGAGATGAAATTAACATTTAATGATATAGTGACCGTATATAATTTACAAAAAATTCATATCCTCCTTATAGACGTTGCTATAATAAAGTGCTATAATAAAGTTTCCAACAACTTGACTTTAGCTACATCGAGACCTTAACTTGCACCCCCAAAATCAACTGCAGCACCACAAGTGGGATTGTACGGACAAAACATCTGAGTTAATTTAGAGGCTGATGCGGTTTTTGTGCAGGGAATCAAACTCATAATCTCTTTATTGAGCAATACAGATCCACATGTGGGTCGACTTACCATTCCATGTCCACAGTCAGTCCCATCAGCCAGTGGCATGTGCTGTGTTCGGCATCCTTTATGGTCCCCCTCTGCACTTGTACACCACAGCCTCTTGCACTGTTTCTGTGGGGAAAACAATTGAGAACGAGCAATTAATAATTTTTGCCGAATAGGAAAAGATCCAACACATGCAGAAGTACACTTGCGTGTAGTGTTTAATTTATTCAATGCCTTAACTTGAGACTGAGAGATGACAGCACAATGTAACTGCTTTTTCCTCCCATACTGCCTTCCTTCCTTCCTTTGTGTGCATATATGATTGCAAGTGGAAATATGTTTGCTGGTTTCCTCAAACAATATTTCATATTGCAGACATGTACATGTATTTTAAATGGTCCAGCATCAGGTTTTAATTAGTGGCCATGCATAAAACAATAGGCTGAGCTCAATAGCTGCCTCTTTGCATGTACACTATGTATGTATGTACGTATCTATGTGTGTATGTATTCCACTGTATATTACAATAAAAAGTCAACAAATGTAATTTAATTTAATTAACTGACAATAGTTTTATATATTTTGGACTATATGGATAACTGCTTATGCTCAAATTTCTGAGGGTTCAAAAAAACAAAGTTCTCCTGTATGTCTGAGTAGATCTCAGATCTTTTAATTCTTCACTTTTTCAGTGTGGTTTTTCTTAATTTGATAGCAAGCCAACTTACCATATATGGGCAAATTTGGGAACCGGGTCCAAACATCAGTTCACACTGTCTGTTGGCATTGTAGATTTGACCAGGGAGGAGGGTGGGCAACTCGTACGTCCTGCCTACAGGCTCATCAAGGAGGCACTCGCCATAGCCGGTGCTAATAACAGTAAGAATGTGTGTACATAACTATATGAACATTTCATTCACATTCATGGTAAGAACATTTTCAGGATAATCCAGTATTTTCCCCAAAAAGTATCAACGTATGTCATCATCATAAAAGCAAAGTAAACACTTCTATGTCATTGTCTGTGATCATCTTCTGATGTGTTTTCGTCTGTGGGTGGTCTGTAAAATTACCTAACAAAGAGACTTACCACTTCCCCTCAATGACCTGTTAGTAAATGCTGTCACTATGAAACTAGAGTCAGGCGCCACAGACTGAATAAAACAGCATTTGGATACAGACCGAAAAAGATCGTGCTGACCACATTTTTATCCGAGGTCTATTTCTCTATGCTGAAAGAAAACAAGGGTATCTGGAATCGTAAAGCACCTTGATTAAGTCACATAAATCGGTGCCAGCGCCAGCATTGCAGTATAATGACAGATTGTGCTGTATATCAGCCACACCCTGAGCCACAACACAGTAACAGAGACAACAAAAGCACAGCTGGACTGAATGTATGCACCAACAAAAAATCTTTATGGTTGTGAAAAGACACTAGTCAAACATGTTAGCAGAGCGTGCCGAGCCTCAAAGGATCCCCTTCTTTTTTTGTTTACTTTTTAAAAAGGAAACTGGTGGATGAGACATGTATAGATGTGTAATTACAAAACATGTCTACATCGCTCTGACAAATTTAATCCGGGATTGAGCTGCTTAAACACCTGCTCCATAGAGCACCAGCTGATGTGACAAGCCAATAATTACACTGGATTTTCCTGAGTTACCGTCGCTCTGCTCCCCCCCCCTCTTTTTATTTCCAGCCATAATGTAAGAAACTGCAGCAAGGGGAAGGATTGCATAAGAAGCATAAACCGACAGTGGGAGATACTGTGAATGAAAACTATGGACCAGCCTGTCAAGGAATCATACAGACAGTCCCATATTACAGTGTCTTTCAGCAGTTGGTCATCTGTCTAATCAGTGTCCTGGAATCTAATGGAATGATTATTAAGACCAAGACAGACAGACAGAGGGAGAAGGGGTCAGCCCTTCTCCCTCTGTCTGTCTCTTCAGTTTTTAAATGAAACGTCTACCTTTTTCTTTTTTTTTTAAGCATATCGGCTGTGTGGATTCGAAAAAAATTCCCTTTTGGCACCCTAAGAAATTCCCCACCTGGCAGCCATTGGGAAACTTAAAAGTAAGTTTATTTATAAGCTGACGTATAGTTGGCTGTTGTGTGTCTCGTCATAAGAGACTAAACAATAATAGTTTCCATATACATCATAATGGGTTTCCCTCAGCAATACAGTGGAAGAAGTATACTCGTATGTCAGATGGATGGTTTCTGCAGAGGGCTGAATGACAGAGAGCATCACTGTACAGTGTTTGATCAAACAGCGCCAAGTAAACTGCAGCAATGCTGTCATGTCAGGGTTTTGTCTCTGACAGCATGTACTGATTATTGTACAAGGAGATATAGAACGAGATAATGACAGAGGTTTAGCTGAATTTAGGGCAACATTTGGTACATAAAGATCCATCTTGACTTTATTAAGGAAAATGGCAGATTGTAAAATGTACTTAAAAATGATTCGACATGGGACTTTTTAAGAGTGGCTGCTGTTAGAGCGGTTAGCCAATTTTCTGAGGTGTGTAAAAGAAAATGATAGGGCTTGCCCACTGCTAATGATTACGTGGTTTCAACACCCAACGAACACAACAATTAGTGGGAGGCAACAGTTAAAGATTTGCATTTTACCTTTATATTTGGATTTTGAGGCTTAAATCAAACGCTGCAGTGTCAGAGAGGGAATGAATGGCTGCTTTATGTAGCAGTTGACACATAATAACACTGCACAACAGCAGGACGCTTTTCATCGGCTTTCAGGTGCGGGAGTTCAGTGCACATTATTACAGCAACAGTGAGATAAGGGGGAGAAGGAGGGGAATCCTTCGCCTTTTGAAAAGAGACGTTTGAGAGGTGGCGCAGCCTTTTCGTTTTTTAAACTGGTACGAGAGTGGTGCAGATTGAATTTGCTCTTCAGGGAGAATGGACAGTCAAAACACTGACGTACTTGACCAGGTCAGCCCACTGAGCAGGAGTAGTACTGTAGAAGTGCTAGTTTGAATCAATGCTCCTCATTGTTGGCTTGAGACGGATTTCAAAAGCACTTGGACTACTCTCTCAAGGGCCTTTCCCACCGCAGCAGCTCCCACACTGCATTGCTGCTTTACTCTCGATACCTGCATTGTTTTGTTATATATCTCATATGGTGAACAAATGTTCAAATTTATCACAAATGCATTTGACATTTCCATCATGCATTTCTTTTTGTCAGCCACACAGAAACAGCTGACATGGGCCAGTTCATATAATAAAAACACATTCATGCAGATTCTTGTCATCTTCAGCAGAACGTTCCGACCACTCGATGTTGAGGTCATCGCTGGCTGGAAACTATGTGAAGCACAACCTTAAAACGTCGCCTAACACTGCGCTCTCGAGATGCATCTGGTCAACAAGGCTGTCCTTTGTGAAAGCCTCCACAATTAACAGAGGAAAGGAGGCAAAGATTAAAGGGTCATGTCCAGGGAAGATCTAATTATAACTGACATTTCCCATCTTAAAGGGAAGCCTTTCACCGGGATCAGTGGCCACGGTGCGGGTAGGAGTTGCTCAATGAGCCGTTGCCCCGTGTTACAGGTTTTGGTGCAGAATGCAGGCTAGTGACTGGATTACTGTTTGCCCAGCATCTTGAGAGCAGGGCTCTGTCCGAGTGGAGAGACAGCTGAGGGACCGCGGAATATCCATCGCTCAGGTCAGCCAAGGAAGACCCCCAGATTCAAACAGGAAATACTCTTTCAACACCAGGCAATAACAACTCCACACAGTTTACATTGCGCTGACCTGTCTACAGAGCACTGTGAGAGACTTAGGAGCAGATTGTTTAGCTGGCCACGTCTCAACAAGTAAAAGTTAATGGCACACTTCAAATGTGGATGTGAGAACATCATATTGGAAAAGAAGCATCCATTTATTTTCCATGAGAAGAACCTGTAATCAGTCTTTTGTTGTCATAATAAATCAGTTTAAAACTGGAAAGAAGAGCCGGTACTTACTCTAGGAACTCTGTGATGTACTTGCGGCTGCACTTAGACCACGACCAGGGATTGGTGTCATAATTGAGGGTGGGAGCCATGACATGATACTGGTGCTTCATGCCTGCCTCCCGACACTTTGGGTTGTCATCATGAGGCATGTTGAACCTGGTGCAGAGAAAAAAAGACAGGGGTTGGAGATGGAGAGAGGGATATTAGGAACATACACAAAGTAATTATCAGCTACTTAATGGCTCAGTCTTAGCAAGGAGGATAAATGTCACAAGATTTACAATCAGCCATTTCTAACGGGTGATCACCCGACACCATCCCTGTGGGCCACCACACACAGATGCAGACCTAGACACATCTGTGACTAATACCACACAGTCTGCGCCTTTCTCTAAACTTGTCTGTAGTTGTTTCTTTGAAGTCTCCTTGAACGTACACCTGCTTCTTTGCTCAGTCTCCCAAATGTTTAGTAAAATCCTTAAAAAGCTTCAATACAAGGGCGAGTATGTGGTTTGTGATATTTGATGTAAAATAGCATTCTTTATCAGTCAGCATGCATCCCCTCCACCTTTATGGCCAACATACTAGTGAGAACAATCTTAAGAGGTCAAAGGTGATCATCTCACATTCTCCAAAGGCTTAATGCAGGGGGGAAAGTAGAGGCAGAGTATATATATTTACCAAATCATGATCTGGGCTATAACTAATGATTATTTTTATAATCTTTTCATCTGTCCATTATGTTTTTGTGGTCTCAGAAAATGCCCGTCACAAGTTCCCAGAGCACAAGGTGGCATCTCCAAAATCCAAAACTCAAAGATATTACATTTTCACTATTGTCTAACAGAGAACAGCGACAAATCCTCACATTTGAGCAGATGTTTGGTCGTTTTGCTTGATAAATGACATAAAAGCTTTTGGCACGATTGTCAAATATTTTAGTAAAACATTTAATGTTTGATGCACTGATTCAGTTAATCAACTAGATGTTTCAGCATCAGTCATAAAAAAAAACATAAAAGTCTTCACAGAAGAACAGCTGCATTAAGTGGAGTACACAGCATGGCATCTGGAAAGTAATGAATTCATCCAGGCTGTTGCATAATGCAAGTTTTCTTGATCATGTCCTGAATTGTGTGGTCCAGTGCGGATGTCCTGTGTTGTGTTCCAGTTTGCCGTCTACCCATAAACACATGTAGTGCATGCGCACATGCTTGCACATGTATATACACACAGGAACCCATGCAGCTGTATGATGTCTGAGATGTTTACAGCAGGATATGGGCCAGTGCTGAGCTCTGGACTGTGGCTGAGGGTCAATACATGCAGCCACATAAACAAGACCTAGCATGGTTGGCATGAGGCCCACCCTACAGGGGCCGAGGGCCTGAAGACAAACACCCAGGGAATAATTACAGTAAGCTTCTGGCACAGTAATGAGCTTGGAATACACACATCAAGCTGTTGGCCGATGCTGACAAAATCATATCTGGCTCAAATGGTATTTTATGTCTATTGTTTGTCAGTGATGAAAAATGAACAGCTCAATACTTTGCCATGACGGGAGTTTGTGACAGGCTCTAAACAATTTGTACTCTGAGCACGTTATGATGATTTAGTTGAGCCAGATTTGAAGGGCACAAATGAGGATACCGTCTGGAAATCCTGAGATGAAAGCCTTTTAGTATAATTAGGTCGTATATCTTGAAGTTTTGTTACCTTGTTTGGCAATCTCAAGGGACAGATCAATAAAGAAGTCAATTCCAGTGGGAGAGTACCAACCGTAGCACTTAATTATTAGCATTCAGACTAAAATGTGATTACTTGAAGCCCACTCACTTTTAGTCAGAGCTCTCAACAAAAAAAACTGCTTTGCTCTTTGCACATCACACCCTTAAAACATTAGTCATTATCAGCAAGACAGAACCAGATTTCTGTGCTGAAACGTGATCAGGATAATGCAAGTGAAGTTTTGTGGTGTAGCCTTTCATATTTCTGAAGATGTTATAAAAGAAAGTTTGCAGCTGCAGACACTCATGCTGTATTAGAATGGGATCGGAGACATTGGAAGTTCTGGCATTGTCTAATGACAAACTTGATTACGTGTGTCACCTTTGAACAGCTATCAAGTGACACCGCCTCGCCTGAAAATCCCCATGATGGCTATTAGTAATCACACGTCCTTGCAGTCATCTGAGAAAGGCCTCCTATCCATTAGTCTAAATCTTTCTTTAATCTGCAATGCTCTTGAGTGGCTCCCACTACCTGACACTGGCTTTCCCAGAGCGCTCACCACTCTCAAGAGCTCACGCCTGTGAACGCAGCGATTAACCACGCCAAGAGGCAGAGCCAACTGGGCCTCCAGCTGCTTGAACTACAGCATAAACAGATCCACACAAGATGCAACGGGGGTAGAGGGGGGAGATCCGTCCATCTGGCTGCTCTGGTACCGTTTCTCCAAGGGAAGAACGTGTGAGTGGGACAGAGGAGGTATAAGAATATTTCTTTCTCTTAACAAATGGCTCACAATCTCACATGACACTTCCTACAGAAATGAGAAAAAAATCTGTCACTCAATTTCACATTTATGTTCTGCGAGGGACGCAGGAAAAAAAGAACGGGGGCAGAAAAAGGATGAGTGCTTTGTCTGTCTCCAAAAAAAGACACAGAAATGAGCTCACTGTAAAGAAAGATGTTCATGTCAAAGGAGAATCGACGTGTTAAACTTGGAATCTAAGGCTAATTGTGCTTCTTAAATCGCACCACATTTTAATTAAGTAAATTGAATATGAGGCGGTAATGAGTGATTTACCATAATTTTGCCTGATGGGTGTTTGGAACAAACAGGCCCCCATATGAGAGATACAGCCACATGTTTTGACTTGGTCACTTGGATAGAGATTAACAAGTTTTTTTTCCGCTTCACACATGTGGCAATATTTGCTTGTTGTGAAAACACTCTCTGGCAGACAGGCATGTTGTGATAATACTTCCATTACACGCTAACAGACGAGTTACATATGACGGCTCTGTGACATCCTCAGGTTGTTTTATCAGTCTTTGGGGTCTGATAGGCGGGGAAAGGGCTGGGAACGAACACTGAACAGAATATTTGGCCTTGTGCTGCCTGATAAAATTGAAGAAATCTTTCTTTCTATGTATTTAGTGTATAGAGAGAACAGAGCTCGAGCACACACGGGGTTAACTTCCTGAGCTGTACAGTAAGGTATTATAGGCTGGCATGTTATTAAAAGTCAAGTTTTCACTTTATTATGTTTTGCACCTGTGTCGGCTGCGCCCTACGTCTCTTGATAAGAGGGCTTTTGTTGGTCAAAGCTGGCTGTGAGGGGGTGAGATAGGGTGTGTGTGTGTGTGTGTGTAGAGGGGGGTGCTACAAGTGCTGTGCTGCTACTTACACATGGCCCAGCTCATGAGCAATGGTGAAGGAGGCACTAATTCCATTTTCTTCACTGATGGAGCAGCTCCGGTACTGGTCGCACATTGTTCCCAGCTCCGCGAGCCCTGCAGGGTCACGTACGCACACAGGAAAACACACAGATGTACATAAACACATGCAGACACTCAGCTATTTAAAAAAAAACTTGCTGCTTGAGTGTTAAAGGCGATTAAACCATCAAAACTTCTGTTCTGTAAGAGAGAGATTAGCACCGCCAACGACTCCCTCCTCCTCTTTCTACCACTCAGCTCTGTCACTGTAATATTATTAGCTGACAGCTTGCCATAAACTCATTACTGCTCAGTTTATGAGCTACGGGTAACGGAGTGGAAAATTAATTGCAACAAACTTGAGGTGGAGGTGTTTTTGCAAAAGAGAAAGGAAGAAGTTTACCTAGTGTGTCACATTTATCTTTTGCGCGGCAGATGTCTTCCCTGGAAAAATCAAACAAACATACAATGCTGTTATCCTTTCTTGAAGAGGACAGTTTTCTTAATAAACTTGGCCTTGTTTTCGGTGTGTACCTGGTGATGAGGAGTGCTGTGTCGTGGTGAGAGGGATGGCTGTCATCCTGGACATTTTGGCTCTGTTGCCAGACGCAGAAGTTGTGGAGAGTGGTGGCAGCATTGAAGCTCACTGTGGGCCCTTCCTGTTTTTGGATGAAACACCATTGGGGATGTGACCAAGAAACTGGGTATACGTACATACTGTAAAGTTGCAAGTAGTAGTTAAAGTAAGTACGTCTTACTAAATATCCCAACCTGTCTTAATCTCTATTTTTGTCCATTGTGACTTCTGGTCATAATAATATTTTACACACTCTATTGTAGCAACTTAGGTAACATGGTCTTTGGCAAAAATTACAGATTAGGGTAAAGATCAGGAGCCACCTACAGCTTTCAAAAACAACTTTAGTTTAAAAAAGCATAGCAAACATTTGGCTTTCAGTTTGACTGCAAGCAAACACAATAATAGTCCCCTACAAATCGCAGTGAAATGCACAGCCTCTCTCTTGCACCAGGCCCCCCCTCTCTAGGAACAGCTGTAGGGTTTCAAATAATAATAAGGTGGTGTGTAAAACGTAATAACGGCCGACTG